TACAGAATTTAGATTTTTAAGATTTTTTATTATAAAATTTCTTAATTTACAGATTAATTCAACAACAAGAAGTGCATCAAAGATTACAATCTCAGGCACCATTAACACCAACAATTGTTCAACCTATAAAACCTCCAGTAAAAGACTTAACTGAAACTTTACTAAAATCTAATTTGAATCAGTTAAATCTTTCAATGTCAAGTTCAAAATCTGATTGCACTTGGAAATCTCCAAATTCAAATCAATATCAATATGTCAGTCCACCAGGGTTGAATATGCGATTAAATCAAAAAGGATATACTTGTGTTTCTAACACAGTTATTCCACAAAATAATATTAATTATTCTATGAATCAAGGAAATTTCGCAGTTAATCAGTTAGAATATAATTCAAATTTGAATTCCAGTTCTAACCAGAAGATAGAAAAATTGCCGTCTTGTGATGTAATGGACCTGCTTGATTAATAATTCTACAAGTGTAATCTAGTATAATAATGTTTATTATTAAACGGTATAAAAATAGCCACTTTTATTAAAAAGAATCAAATTTATTACAATATAACGACATTGTTTTATTACTGTTCTGTTATTTTCTACCATTTTATTATATATTTTTGTTACGAGGTCAATTAAATTTAAAATATCGTGAAAGGAAATGAAGTAATGTATAAAAACTAATATTTGATCACTATCTCATTTGTAAATTTATTTAACTTTGAAATATTAAGATTCATCCAATACTTTAAGTATAATATAAAAATGACTCTAGTATTTACTAAAATTCAAAAATTCTCGCATAAATTCCGAAAATAGGTTATTAATTACGGTAAACTACTGAGACGGTTTAATTTAGGGTGGGCATGGTGCTGCTTTAGTTTGAAATGATTTATAAACACATAATTAACAGAGGAAAAACCGTGAAACGGCAAAACGTCTACATTCTAATTGTTATAACATGTAAACAGAACTTTAAATTTAGTGTAAACAGAAAAAATATATAATACAATTTATTTCACGGTATTGCAACAAATAAACGTTGAATCAATATTTAATTCGTATAAAAACAATTATTTAACGTAATAATTTTACCTTCACCATGGCTATTTATTTATTTCATGGTATTGTAACAAGCAAACGTTGAATACATTTTTCATTCGTGTAAGAAGAATTATTTAACACGATAAATTTAGCTGTACTATGGTTATTTTTAATCTACGACCACAGGTCAACCTGATTTTTAATCCCTACGAAATTAATTTAACCACGAGTAAGTAACGAGAACGCTAAAACCTATGTTTCCATTGAAGAATATTGTAAAAACGTATAAATTGTTATATGCAATGTTATAACAAATTGTCGGAAGTATAAATTTTTAATAAAATTGTGAAAATTGATAAATTATACCGTGTTACGATATCGGAAATCTCCCGCGAAAATCTCCCGCGAAAATTTCCCGCCTGACCTAACCGACGATTTTGCTAATGACTTTGGGGAGAGGGTACCGCAGGTATATAAGGACCCGCCGATGTCCCGCGAAATCATTTACCCTTTATACTGGGCCCTAGACACTTCGCGGCGTATTTTGACCTGAAGGTTCTGAGATGTGAATAGAGTGGTCGGGGGCTACTAGCTAGTCTATGTCCACCCTGTACACACTCAGCCTTCTTGTAACACTTGTATACATTAGAATCAATTAGAATTTCTATTACTAATTATTAAACAAATTTTAACAATTACCGGCACTCGCTAGGCACGTAATATCAGACTTTAAATACTCGACTTCGAACTTCGGTTTAGTCATAATTCTATTAATGTTATAATAACGTATAATTTATTAATTTTCACAATTTTATTATTAATTTATACTTCCAAAAATTTGTTAAAACATTACATATTATTATTTATACATTTTTGCAAGTTTCTTTGACAAATAAGTACGTTTCAACGATCTTATTACTTTCTCGTTGTGAAATCAAGTTCGGAGGATTAAAAATCAGGTTGACCCTTGGTCGTAAATTTAAAATAGCCATAGTGAAGGTGAAATTATTATTTTAAATAAATGTTTCTATACGAATTAAGAATCTATTCAACGTTTGTTTGTTGCAATACCGTGAAATAAATTGTATTATATATTTTCTCAGTTTAGACTGAATTTAAAGTTCGTAAGGATTAGAAATCAGGTTGACCTGTGGTCGTAGATTAAAAATAGCCATAGTGAAGGTAAAATTATTACGTTAAATAATTGTTTTTATACGAATTAAATATTGATTCAACGTTTATTTGTTGCAATACCGTGAAATAAATTGTATTATATATTTTTTCTGTTTACACTAAATTTAAAGTTCTGTTTACATGTTATAACAATTAGAATGTAGACGTTTTGCCGTTTCACGGTTTTTCCTCTGTTAATTATGTGTTTATAAATCATTTCAAACTAAAGCAGCACCATGCCCACCCTTAATTAAACCGTCTCAGTAGTTTACCGTAATTAATAATCTATTTTCGGAATTTATACGAGAATTTTTGAATTTTAGTAAATACTAGAGTCAGTGCATCGCGTATTGAAATAATAGCTTATACAGATAATCTTTTGAAATTACTCTTAATTAGGGAAAATCTTGAATCTTGTATGGAAGATGAAGATTTTCAGGAAATATTTATTTTTCAACAATGAATTTTTGTTTTATCGATTAATAACGTACGAAATGATTTTTGGAAAATTTTCTTCGTTTGAACGTTCGTTTAAGGTTCGACTATGATTATCAAATCTCTCGAAACACCGTAGAATGTTCAATTTTAAAAGTAACTTCTTCAATTTTTGGATAATCTGGGTAACGTGTTAGTGTTGACGATACACTTTCGAGTATAGACGTTAAAGTTCACAGAGTGGTCGGGGGCTACTAGCTAGCCTATGTCCACCCTGTACACACTCAGCCTTCTTGTAAACTTGTATACATTAGAATCAATTAGAATTTCAATACAATAGACGGAATAACAATTCATTTTAACTAATACCTATTAGAAATTTTCCTTTCAAAACAAATATAAATCACTTTACCAATTACTGGTACTTGCTAGACATTTAATATCAGACTTTAAATATTCTCCTTTCGGTTCTTTTAAATACAATCAAATAATTTCTTCAATTATCGATACTGACTTGGAATACTCCGCTTCGAATAAAATATTTCGAAATTATTTTGAAGGTTTAGGGAAATAAACATTTGAATTTTAGTCATCGTTGTTCTTCAGACTTGTCGAATAGGATATTGAAATGACTTTGAGAGGTTACTTTTTCGTTACTTTTCTTCTAGCAATTGAAATTAATTTGAAATTTTTCATATATTTTCTCTGATATTGAATTTTGTTTACTAATAATTTACCATCCAAGGAATTTGCATGAATTGCATGTTAAGTAGTTAGTTGATTTATTATTGTATATTGTGAGCTGATTTGGAACGAGTGCACTATGCCCACCCTAAAGTAAACAGTCTCAGTAGTTTACCGTAATTAATAATCTATTTTCGTAATTTATACGAGAATTTTTGAATTTTAGTAAATACTAGAGTCAGTGCATCGCGTATTGAAATAATAGCTTCATCCCTAGTTCGTTTATTATTGAATATTTTTACGCGTTTAACTTATGCTTCTCCCCAATTCTCGTCGCGTATTTTATTCAAATTTTCTTATACTCTAGAATCGAGAAAGATATGAATTCGCGTTTTTTCTTTTGATTCTTTCAATTTTTCAATTGCATTACGCATTATTGCAATAATTTCTATCGTTACATTTAATTCTAATTGTTTAGCAGCTTTTCTGCTGCTATCGACCCTACATTTTACTGACACTTGTCGAACCGACCCTACATTTTACTGACACTTGTCGAACCGACCCTACATTTTACTGACACTTGTCGAATCGACCCTACATTTTACTGACACTTGTCGAATCAAGGCTACATTTTACTGACAGTTGTGGAATCGACCCTACATCTTTTTTTTTTTTTACGTGGAGGTAGGCCGACTCTACGTGATAAGCAATTGGCAACCAAACGGTGGCTCGCTAAAGCGATATATTATGAAATTAAATTAATCACTCAATAAGTATTAACATTAGATTGTTTCCTCGACATGGCCATGGTGGTCATCAGTGACTGGAGTGCCTCAAATGTTTAGAATAATTAAAATAAAATAAATGTTGTCAACTAAAAATTTTGAACGTCATAGCTAGCTAGACATTATTTTCAATTGAAAAAAAAAAATTATAAAGCATAATACTATAATCCTATGCTTAAAATGTATTTTCTTGTGGCCGCCTGACAGCAACCTGTAAATCTGGCGCGACAGTGAACGTGTTAATAAGTAAATGTTGTTCAAATTATATCGTGTTTCATATCATTTTCATCAAGAAAATCTCACCAACATGTTAAAAAAAATTTCAGATGAAAAAAAGTAAAATTAAAGAAATTATATTTTTCTATTATGATTTGTCGAGCCGTGTAATCTGGTAAAGGAAACCGACTGGTGTAGCGTTACACTCTTGACTGACTGCGAGCGAGATAACATGGGCGCAGCAATGACGCAGACCTAGGCGTAGGCCCATCTATACTGTCACTTGTAGAATCCAAACTTACTGATTCTTGTAGAGAATTTACTGTACAATGTAAGACATAAAGACCGCAAAACTTTGAATTTAATTTTTTTTCCATATCTTGTACGGTTTTGTTAATATTCACGGTAGTATGAAAACTCAATTTCTTTGAGGAGGTATTTTCATCCCTAGGATCGTTTCATTGCCGAAACAAAAAATGGTTTCGTTATTAGCGCCAACTGAACTACATTTCTGCAAAGTTTCAAATTTTTTGGAATATTCGGGTTACCAAACTTCCCTTATAAGTGGGCAAAACCTGCGTCCACTAACCGGACATTACTGAATTTGTGTAATTATACAGGGTGTTAATAGTTGTTGCCAAATTTCAGGAGCGTGTAGTACTCAGCAAAACAAGCAAAAAAGTTTTAATAAACATTGATCTAAAAACCATTAGTCTCGGAGTTACGAGACGTTTTTGTCAGTAATTGTAAAATATTACTTTTACAGTATATGTTCGATACGTTCCCCGTTCATTCCGGCACACACTTTTACACGTTACATATAGCGTGTTGATAATGGGACGTTATACCTGGGATATTAATACGTATGTTTACATTTTTTTGGCTTGGTTCCTGATACTGACGGAATATGTACTCTGTTATACCGTTCTTACAGATTTAAAGCAGAGAAATCTAGTATCTCTGACACTAATGGTTTTTAGACCCATGTTTATTAAGATTTTTTTGCTTGTTTTAACGAGTACTACACGTTCCTGAAGTTTGGCAACAACTTTTATAAACACCCTGCATATGAATGGGTGAGAAACAAGAAATTCCACTGGATCTTATTTTCGCAAAATTGAGAAAACAGATTTGCACCAAAATTAACGATTAAAACGAAAACCTTTTTACTTAGACGTTATCCCCCAAAACCATAATAACAATTCTCAAACTACAATTTTAAAATGATCTTAGTAAATAAATAGTTATATTGAAACAAAAAAATTGGGAATCCTTTCTTTCTTCTTCTCACCGATTCATGTTTATTGTAACATGTTTATATTTATTAAATACATTTTAAAAAGTCTAAAAATGTAAATAATTCATAATTATACTAGTTTAACTTACACAAAAAATATTTTACTATATAACACACATTGTTAAATAATAACTATTTATAAGCTCCTGATTGTTAAATTGGATTCCATCTATAATAAAATTCTTGGTAAAATTTGTGCATTGTTATTTAAAATCATAATAAAAGTAATACGTATGAATCTATTGATTATTTTCTATCTTTGATCTATATTTTATGTACTTCATTAGAAGAAATCTATTAGTTTCAAAGATATGTAGTTTACCACTTTTTCCTTCATGTTCTATTTACATTAAATAAGTTGTGAGTGTTCTTCAGAGGTCACGGCGAAACCTGTACACTTTATAATAATCGAATTATTTTACATTAAAGAAAATATTTTGTACTTTTTTATTAAAAATAAATTCACAAAAATCATCTTATTTTTGGCGAATTACACGAGTCTTCCTTCTTAATTCAAATTTTCCTTTATGAAGATTAATGGGCATAATATAAACTAGAATGTCGGTAAGTCAATTACCAATTTACCGTCAGCAAATAAATGCAACAGCCGCTTCGATACGAACTGTTGGATGGTGATGCCAGAATGATTTTCGCGCGCCTTTCTTGTACATCGTACGTCATTTCACATAACCACCACCACTGTGCGTTTGTGTTTTTCTAGAGATTCGACAAAGTCAATGCATCTCAGTGTATTTACATATATACCCTTCCGTTTAGTGTTTTCATTGCTGCATATAATTTTTCTTATTATGAAAAGATCTTTTATTTATAATAAATAACAGTTTATGTTAGTTCTCTATATACCTACAATATTCAATGTCTGTATAAACTATATACAACAATGTATTCTGCTTCCATTATGATAATGATAATTAATTGCAATATTAATATTTTATAAAGTGAATTAAATAAATTAAAGGTATTACTACAGCTTGTTCACTGTTTAATAGTTCGAAGTTTAAAGAAAATACTGTTTTGAAAATACTATAATAATGGTTAGAAATTGAAAATTATTGATTATTAATGATAACCTAAAGTGTTATATTTTTCAGTTTTCGTATATTTTTATTTTATACGATTTTGTTAAACGTTTATGTATTTTAGGTATTCGCAGAAATTAAACAATTTCATAAAACATAAGTTATAGAAATAATCAAACTATGTAAAAACTATGTTATTTTCTTACATTTAAGTATACTACTGAGTGGATCTAAGTGTTTTAGAATATAATAATGGAATTATCAAGAGATATCATGGATGGTCTTACTAATATTCTAAACACAAATATTATTACTGATGATATTTTTCTACAAATTTTAGACATGGCTACTTCGTATATATATGAGAATCCTGCAGAAATAAAATGTGAGTATTTTTGTTTGAAAACAGTTTTAAAATGTATAAGTAACATTGATTTGTAGAATTACTTATATCAATGAAATTATAGGTATTATCAAAACGGTTGACTCAAAACCAATTTTAACGAAGAAGATTTTTGCTGATATGGTATGTTTACTTGTAGAAGCTGCTCGGTATGATTTAGATGAAGAAAGCTTAAGAAATTTCTTAAATCTTCTATATATTGACGAAAAAAGAACTAACAAATTATGTGAAGTATACATTAACAATAAAACAGCAATACAGTCTCAGTTGGAATTGATAGGCAGTAATCCACCACACATCATTGATGTAGACTGGCATTTGGATTACTGTGTCAAGGTAATTTACCGGTGAATAGAACACCGATCATTTTATCCACAGATGCTTTATTCATTGTTATTCATGAAAGTGATTTTCAGTTGGACATGTGTAATTCATTGGGTGTTCCCCTTTATCATGTGCGATTTACTACTAAGGAACATGAAACAACAAATCATGTAACATTTTCATGTACAATACAACAGTTGCAAGAACTGGTGTTTAAGCTCAAAGATGCCATCAGATACTCAGAGAAGCTGACTAATGTTTAACTATATCATTAAGTTCTTGATTTACATAATACAATGCAAATCATGTTTATTTTTAAATTTTGCTGCAAATATTTTTGTTTTAACTACTTTTGTTACAATGTATGAATTTCTATAAATCATAATTGTCAGCAACTTATGACATTATACATGTATGTTAACATTTAGTTAAAAATTATTATAGTAATCATTTAATAATAAACTCAATTCGCATTTATAAGTGTAGTGGTAAAATCTTATACAAACAACAGACTGTGTAAAGTGTAATCAACTATATTTTTATAATTAAAAGAACATCCTCTACTTCATGTAGTATAATTACCGTATTAATAACGCGCGCGCGTCAAGGAGTATGCGCGCGCGCACACAAACATGCTCAAAACACGTACATAAATTTGAAAACAAACGACGATCAACGTTCTTATAAATGAAACAAATCTCGAAAACTTCGTTTAAACTGTTTTGATTTAAACGATGTTGAAATTTCCTTTGCACAAAAATTATAGACGTATATTTTTCACTCGCTCACTCACTCAGGTACACCTTGTATACAAAAGAGTCGCGCGCGCACACAACTAATAACTTATTAAAAATACGTCGTTTTTTGCTCTACAATGAGGCATCTCTCTAATAATTGCTTTCTTGTTTAGACAAAAAATACTATCGTTACGTCCTTAATTCCTAAAAATATGCGTGTTAAATTATATTAATAATCGATAATTTTTTTTATATCTAATACATGATATAGATTTCTTTGAATCATTATACACTATTTACAAGTAAATGTATCTAAAAAAAAAGACCAATATTAAAAATTTTTCTATACATTTAATTTTTTTCTTTCTTTCCGGCACTTATCCAAATTAATAGTGATTTTTTATCTATGCGTGCTATTTTAATAATTCGGTGCGATGCGACACATCGATAATGTTAACTAATTAAGCTGGAAAGAGAGAAATCACTTGGAGCGTAATACTTTTCTCGTTTTCTTAAATCATTTAACAACGATGTCTCGCTCTCGATTTACTAACATTATTTCATGTATAAGATTACTGTGATAAGGCCTCGGTCATTTTACCATAGTTGATTCCTTTTTAAAAAGAGAGTATGAGAAAAAGGAGCCAATCGAAGAACTGTATTATGGTTAATTCTACTTGGAAGATTAGATTAATTCTCGAGGCTTTGGTTAGATATTCAACATTTGACTAAGATATATTATGAAACAGATAATAGAATTTGTTCAAAATTATGATAAATACTGTAAACTAACAAACTATGTGAAATTATTTTATAAAAACTCGTCATAAATAATATTATGATTCATTATATGCAGTAATTCTATCCTATATAATTTTTATACAGTTCCTATGTCAAATGTGACTTCGAGTATACTTAGTCATTTCTTATATTTTTTTCGTTCAAATTAAACATGCATTGTATTTCTAATTACTACAATTTTTAGTCGCAAAATAAGAATTTGTTATTAGCAATACATTAAGCATAATATTAGTTTAATATGTTTCATGTTTTGCGATTTAAAAATTATAATAATTAAAACCACATATATTTGTTGTGCATTAATTAAAAACATTATGGAAAAATTGTTGAAAGATTGAAATACCAAGAATTACAGTTTGATAAAAATTTGTATCTACAGTAAAATGTAGCAATAACCGAACATTTTCATATATGCAAAAACATACAAGTTAAATGATTTTTTTAATGCATAAATTATGTTTCTGTTTTGTTATTTTGAGTCTCAGATTTATTCCCTTCTTCAGTTCTTTCACATTCCTCAGTTTTAGATTCTTTTATCTCCTGTTTTTCAACAATTTTTTCTGAAATTTGCACTGCTTTTGTTTCATTCTGTTCTCTGTGTTCTTCTATAATCTTTTCTGTTGTTTCTTCTTTGCTTCCACTCGTGAGGCCTCCATTAACTTGACAAGCTGATTTCTCTTTCTTTTTATTATTTACACTGTCACTATTTTCATCAGATCGATTTTTCTCAAAATTTTGTCCTTTTGAAACATATAAGTTTTGCTCTTTACATCTAACAGTTTTTTTTTCCAATTGCTCTTTATTTTGATCCTGATCTCTAATACCCGGTGGAGAATTTTCTAACTTAGTCTTTGAAGTAATAATTAACGTATTTTTACTCTGGGGAATACTTGAGGTGGGAGAAAGTGAAGTCGATTTAGAATTTCGAATTGTTTCTGTTGATACCTTAATAGCCTCTGCATTACAAAAACTTCCAGTCTTAGACAAATTAAATGCACTGACATCTTCCTGTGATGTATTTTCTGAAAGAAGCAGGTTATTAGTCTCAAGAGATGTTGTTGCAATCGTTTGTGTTTCAGGTTTGACCAAATTGAAAGATGCAGGTGAAATTGCAGTTAGAGAGGTAGCTTTAGGTGATTTAGGTGAAGAATAAGTGCTTGGTGGTATTCTCTGCACTGTTGGGGGTTGTGAAACTGGAGAAAAACCAGTCGTTTGTGGAATATAACTAGACCGTTGATATAATTTATTAATTGAAGGTGGTAAACTACTATGAAAGGCACTAGGAGATGAAATTCCTATTGGTGAACGTATCAAGGGATTTGGAAATCTGGTGGCATCAGGAAATGGTGGTCGAAAATGAGGATAAATTAATCTAGGATTCATATTTGGCGTTGGAGAAGGTATAAATGGACTTGTTGAAAGTATATTTACTGGAGAATTTTTTGGAGATATTGGTGATCCAGCACTTCTACAAATATCTCTTGAAAATGGAGGATTTGGATAGTTTCTTGCACTAGGAGAATAAGGAGGTGGTGAAACAATGGGTGAATTAATTGTTGAGACAATAGGAGATAGAGTTTTAGGATCTATCTTCATCATACTCAAATTCCCATTTTTGGAAGTGCTAGATGTGTTTGTTGTCGTTGTTGATGTCATTGTCGACTGTTCTTTTTCTTTACATTCATTACCAATTCCATACATTGGTTTCACTCCAGAGGCAGGATTACCTAAATATCTTGGCATATTTCTCATTTTAAAAATTTTAGCTGGTTTAGATTGAATTGTTTTGCTTCTTTCAAAAAATGTAGTTTGATGTAATTGGCTTTGTGCCTCTTTGCTTTGATTTTTAACTGCTACATAGTTGTTCCTAGAAAGCGTAGGATTCCAGCATTTTGGAGGATCACGCAGAGTCTTGTAACCCACTGCTTGACTTTGTTTTTTAGAAACAGAAGGAACCTTTTGTAATGACTGCGACGTTGCCATTGGAGAAGTAGTTATTAGTGAAGTAGCTCTAAGACTATCCTTTACATTTGAATAAACATTTTTACTTTCTGTTGTAACCGCGTTGCTATTAGATGCATAAATGGGCACATTTGGAATATTTCCATGTTGTTGTTGTTTATTGGTAGAATCAATCGTAATTGATGACGAACCATTTTTTCTCCCAATTTTTAATAAATCTGGAATATCAGATTTACTTCTTACTTCTGTTTTGCTCTTCTCTTTGGAATTTTCTCCAATTTTAGCACATATATCATTAATTTTTGAACCGGAGGCTCCGATTTTTGCACAAATATCATTTACATTAGAACCCTTTGTAATCAATTCATTTTTACGAATTGTTGGTTTCATTAAGGAAATTGGAATAGCATCAGGACAAGGAGGCACTGAATATGTACTAGTTATTTCCAAGTTTGCTTTTAAAGATGACTCTTTTGAAACACTTATATTTGAATTTGGATAATTACTTTTTGAAGAAGGAACATTCATGGAAGGTATAGTAAATGCTGTAGGATGTTCTGATACTGAGGATGTGGGAAAATCCTTTCCAGAAACCGCAGTAGCAGATAATTTTTGAGTCCCTGATGTTGTCAAACACTTGAGAGAATTTTTTAGCATTGTACTGTTTACCAAATCCTGAACCATATAGGGAAATGTAGAAGTAGATTGACTTATTGTTGATGTAGAAGTTGAATTGATTCCGTTACCAATAGACAAAGAAACAGATGTCGAAAGATTAAGAGATGCGAGATTCTCATTTGTCAATGGTTCGATCTGTGGGAATGGTGATTTTTGAGAAAATATATTTGCTTGTCCATTTGTTCTTTGAGGGGATTCTGCTGGAGTTTGATCTAATATATATGTTTCTTTCTCTGCCGTACTTTGCAGTACTTCCTGAAGAGAGCATCCATCCTGATCAACTGATTGCACATTTTTTATGTTAGTTTCTATATCTTTTAATTCAGAATTAATTGAGGTGGCTGGGTACGTGGATAAAACAGGTTCTGCACTATCCTTCAATTCAGACGTTGATTTTTGTGATATCATTTTTGTAGAGAATGGAACTAATGATTTACTTATTGTAATTCCACAATTATTCGTTATAATTTGTACCTTCGAAGTATCAAAAGAATTTTTTGTTTCTGTAGATTTTGAACTCTCAACAACTTTTATATCTACCTTTTTAGATGATTGTGGTACAATCTTTTTATCTTTTATAGTCTTCTTTGAAGAGGCATTACTACTGCTAATTTGTCCACTTCTCGGTTGAAATTGCAATTTTACACTTAAAGCATTGATTTTTGATCCCGTATTTGCAAATTTTACTTCATTTCTTGAATTCTGCTTAGGAGTTTCCACTTTATTTTCTGTAATTATAATATTATTATTATTATTTTTTGATGACTCTTTTTGATCTTTACTTTCAATGTTATTATTTTTAATTTCATTTTTATTCACAGCTAGTGCTATTTCTTGCAGTTGAATACTTTTTTGTAAAATTGTTTTATCTTCAATATTGTTATTATCCGATCGATTTTTCGGTTCTTCCGCATGTTGTGAATTTACCGCACTTGCTATTTCTTTTGTTGAAATCTTTACAGTTTCTGTTTGATTAAAATTTTTCTTATCATCCAATTCGTTTAATTTTGGAGATACATCACAATCACCAGCAAGTTGTTCATCTGGAGATTGTTCATTTTCTTTAGTAATTTCAGATATGTTGTTCCTATTAGAATTTTCCTCAATCATTGATGTACTTATTGTTTCAACACTAGTAATAGGTTCTTCAACTCTTGCAGTTTTCTTAAATTGTTGGTCCGATATACCTGTAATACTCATTATACCAGTTTCAGAAATTTTTAACTGAACTTCTTTCCATTCCCTTTTTGTTGGGTTTTCTTCTTCTGATTCAATGGAATCAATTCCAGCATGAAGCAAAGATGTTTTGTAATTGACATTGTCCTCTGAAAGTTTTATTCGTTTTGGGGAAGATTCAAATATTCTGTAACTTAAATGCAATGGCACTTTCTGAAATAGATATGATAAAATGTTTATAAAATAAAAAATTTTTAATTTTTTAAGTAATAAGTTTTTAATACTTACTCGCCTCCAATGATAAATGTACATCACATCCATCAATGTATAACTACTGCACAGTGGTTCCTCTTTATACATTACGTCTACCCTGTGTGAATCAGTTAATCCATACTTAGCTCGTATAAGCTTTTGTAAATGAAAAATAGTTACTGCAGCAGGGCAACGAAGATATCGCCTTAACAAAGGTTTTATAGCTATTCCTTGGATATCCTTGGATGGACTAAAGTATTCTAATGATAAACTAAGAGATTCATCTGGAGAATATATATGTGATTCAGTTGGTTCTCCTTTTGCTTCTGGAGATGTTGCTTGAGTGCATGCTTCAGGATGTTTAGAATAAAACTCTTTCCTACATCGCATTTCATCTGAAATATAAAATATTTAAATTAATCATCCATATTACATGTTCCTACATTTGATTATAAAACTTACTTTGGTAACATCCAGGTACCAATTTATACACAATGTCCTGCAAAGTGTGGTCTGGACGAATGTTGAGTAGTGGTTTACTTTTGTGCACCTGTACCTCACATATTGGACAATACTTATTGTTCTCCAGATACTTGACGATACAGCTCCTGCAAACTGTAGTGCGACGTTAATCGCCGCTTACATCAATATGCTGGAATCATCGCTCAACCCTTTTGCAATGATGAAATTGAATTTATTCACCACAGACAAAAGGATTAAGAAAGCGACGGAAGAATACACATACACGAATGCAAGCACTCTATAATAGTAGTGGCATCAATGAAATATCCACCGCATAATTTGCACGTCAGTTGATCGTTGAGTTTGGACAACCGTAAACGATGCCCTCCACTCTGACCTGACATCCTATAGTAGAAAAAATAATTCGATCATATATACTTAACTTTTAATTAACATAAATATCATAAGAATTGCAGCAATAAAAAAAACTAATAATATTGCGCGGTTATGAAGGGCTACTAAACAAAGCTACAGCACTTCATTCGGATGATTTTAAATAATCTGCACGTCGAAAATATTACACTGAAATAAGGAACTAACATAACTAGTTATCATAATTGAAATACCAGACTTACGTGGTGAATGATGCGAAAACTGTTCGTTTTATCTAGTAATCGCCATTTGATCAAAGAAGTCAGGAAAGTTGGGTCAGAACTCGAGCCGAAAATTCACAAATTCTCATGATGAAAACATTCATTAAAAAAAATTGACTCAAATTCGTTAAAAACAATTCCCCTTCCAAATCACAAAATGCTGTCAGATTCTACGATTTTTTAAAATTTGAGTCAATCTAGTTCATTGCAAAATTGGCCACGGTACCAGGAAAAACTCTGAGGACGACAGCAAAACAAAATGGTGGATAAACAATCATGCCAATGACATTTCCAAAAACATGAGTTTGCTTTGAAGTTTTCTTTTCAATCATATCTTAAGGAAGAAAGATGAAAAATAATAAGAATAATTCAAATAAGTAATTAAGAACAAAATTTTGTTTGCTATGAAATGTCTCCGAGATGTAAGTACTATAAACTAGAGCAATAGATTAACGGTATCATTTATCGATATGACTGTTACTGAAGTACTTTATACAATTCAGAGATGGCACTACTAACTTATATTTAAATTTGTATTTTATTCAAAATTAATATTTATTTATGACATTTGGTTATAAACGGATCCAAAATTATTTAAAGTTATAATACAATTTTATTTTATTATTCCT